CCAAATCCATTATTCCATTTGATTAACGACACTATGCAGAAAAATTGGTCTACCAGCTACTCTGTGGGTGCAGTTCTCTCCATTTTCAGCAGTCTCATCAGAATTGATACTGCTCAGGCCTAGTGCTTAAGTTGCTTTCTTTTATTGAAAATCAGATTAAAGGCATTCTCTTGGAGGTTCGTTCATGAATTTCCAACCATTTACAGGTATTAACCCCTAATGATCAGTAATATTTCTTGGCAAATAAAGAGGTGAGTGCTGTTTAACAGCGGTTAGAATACAGGAGACCATGGAGGTATTGGGAAAGGATGGAACAGAGAGGCAAAGTGTGGGAAGGAGAACCGCACTAGAGAGATACAAAGGTGCTAAAGAGTTTCGTAGAGAAGACTTAGCATAAACAGATGGAATGGTTTTGGGCATTACTGGTTTTCGAACTGAACCCTATCAACGCTCACTCAAAGATTAATCAACCATGTAATTAAGACATACTGTGGTTCTCTACAGGGAACTTAAGGTTATCGCAAGAGTTAGCACTTCAAGTGGTAGTGTGAGCTTGGTAACAGTACTGAGTTCGCGGCTAGATCAGACACTTCAACAGCCTCAGTGAAGTCGCGATACTTTGGTTCCAGTGATTGTTAGTGAGTTAGAAAGCGAGTATCATATTAGCGGTTCATACGCATGTTTCCTCTATGTTCAGAGCCAAGTTTTGTGAAAACTTTCATTAACGAGATTGGTAAGTTTGCAGTCGTCAAAGTTGATGTTTTCGGATAGGCACCATGTGGACTAAAATGTGTTTGTCTTCTCTGAATCACAGCAAGAGCGACGGCTCTTTACTATCTTTCATCGGGAGCTCTTTTGCTGGACTGATGAGTGGTACGGTATGACGATGGAGGATATTCGCGAGTTGGAAAATGCCACAAAAGATGAACTTGATGAGGTTTGCCTCCTATGTCCTTTGAGAAGTAACGCAAAGGTGCTCCAAGTTAAAGCTTCTCTTTTGTTTTACTTTTAGCAACGTCGTTCTTCTCAATTGCGAGGTTTGGCGCTCAAAGACTCATAGACCATGTTTGAGTGGAGGACTAACGGCCAGCTATGAGATATTATTATTATTATTATTAGCCTCGTGTATGCACCACCCCCTTCAATTAACTTAAATTTTACTTCTATGTCTTTTCTTCTCTCTTCTCTTTTCTGCTATTGCTGGTTGTGTCGTGTTATAACTTCTTTTCCCTTCATTGGAAATAAAGGATACTTCAGTGTTTTTCGGAATTGGAATTTTAAATCCAGATATACTACTCAAATGTATGAGGAAATGGTTGGTTTGTGCGTGGATTTTTCTGTCAACTTCCATCAACAATTTGCCCATTTTATTCAATATGGGGTATGCATGCGTACTCTGACCTTTATATCTAAAGAGTGGGGTGTGCGATAGACTTACCTCCTCGTGGTGCACCCTGGGCAACGTATACTTATACGCCAAAAAGTCTATTAACTGGCAGTTGACTTCTCACTTCAAACAGCCATCACCTCACTCTATGCCAAATTCCACCACTTTCACAGTATTCATTTTACCTTTTTCTCTACCCTTGTGCCTGTCTCTTCTACATCTTTGAAACACTCTTCTGATCCTCCCCCCCACTCTCGACTTTTTTTCACTTTGATGTTCCTTCCCCTCTGTGAAGTCTGAAGTCAACTAAAGGGCTAATGATAACTCTCAAAACGCCTGCCATTTGATATAAATAAATATCTAAAGAGTTTGTCTAGAGGGGTATCGAACTATTGTCAGACGTGGTCTGAGTGAGAGTTTAATATAGGAAGTCTTGGATACAAGACGAAGACTAGCATTTTCCAAAACAATTCTTTTGGCTTTTCGGTCACGAGGCCGATGTGTGACTCGAACCCATGTCCATCGAGTCCTGACGAGTCTATTGATTCCCCCTTTCTTGCTCCATCAAAAATACATCTGCACTCTTGACGCACACTTGCCGTTTATCCGTTCGCATGTTTCCCTCTCGATCTACTCCCAGTTCATTAGCTTTTGCAATTTGGTAATC